CTGGAATCATTTTAGCGTAGGGCCAAATAGCTGTGCGTGTCTCTGTGAATCCGAATGTATTACTGTGTGCCCGAATCACACATACAAAAAAGGAGCTCTTCAACCCATCTTTCTATCCCAAGAATAATGGCGCAGCTGCACCCAGTTCAAAGGACTCCTAGAAGTCCATATGTCATTTTCAATGTCAAAAATGAGACACCCCTCCCCGCTCAGGAACCAGGCCCGTGTTAGCACTTCCTCTTCAGCTGCACTAAACATGCAACAGACAGACGCACTCAGCACTCCCCACTGGCACCAGGATTCTCAGAGATGGTGCACAGAGCATGCGGGATATCGGAGGGATGTCTAAAACCCTCGAGAACAAGCAATATTCAAGCTCCCATAAGCAGCTTGGGAGCTTCTATTTATCTTCCAATAATGGACATACTCCAGGTAATCTTTCTTTTCTGCTTATTAAAGGAGGCCCTGAGAGTCCCTCCAGGCCCCTGCTGAATGACTGGATGGATGCATGGATGGATAGTAAATAAATAAAACTGGTGACATAGCTGGAGTTATTAGAAAAAAACAAATCACCTTATACAGTCCCTTGCAGACTTTCGCTGACGCACACATTTCTCCCAAGGCCTCTGCATCAGTAAGGCCTGAAAGTATTCATATTTATATGTTTTAGATCATTTTTCCTGCTTGTATTCTAGGGTGATAGCCAACATTCAAAGGAAAGTGAAGAATTGAAGAACATAGTAAGAGCTTCCTAGACAAGAAAAAGTTAAAGGAGTTCATCACCACCAAAGCAGTATTATATGAAATGTTAAAGGATCTTCTTGAAAAAGAAGAAAAAAGATAAAAAATACTGAGAATGAAATGGCAATAAATGCATATCTATCAACAACTGAATCTAAAAAACAAACAAACAGAACAGAAACGGACTCATAGATATAGAGAACATTTTGGCAGATAGGAATGGGGCTGCGTGGAAAAGGTGAGAGGATTACGAAATACAAATTGGTTGTTACAGAATAGTCAGCATAGGGAATATAGTCAGTATTATCCTAATAACTATGTATGCTGTCAGATGTGTATGAAATTAATCAGGATGGTCACTTAGTAAGGACATATAATATCTAATCACTGGGGTGTACACCTGAAACTAATATAATATTGTATGTCAACTGTAACTGAAACATAAAAATGATTTTTAAAAACTGACAAAATAAAATGATATTCATATCATCTTGAGAAAAAAAAGTTATTCATTTAGAAGTTTCTAAGTAACCAGATGGCTGGCATCAGTAGACAGAAGCATTGTGTATTTGTTCCTTCAACAAATATTTATTAAGTGTCTGCTCCATGCCTGGCTTTCTGCTAGGCCCTGAAAAACCTCAAACTGAGGAAGACTGATTATTCAACCTCACGACAACACATCATCTTGCAGCAGAAGAAGGAAAGCGACCATGTGTACAACCCGCTCCATGCCTAGTACTGTGTTAGGTACCCTCCTACAATATCATTTTCTGCTTCATGGCAACCCTCAAAGTCGGTACAACCCTTAAACGGATGAAGGAACTAAAACTCGAGGAGTTCCAAGAACTTGTTCAAGCCACATTACTAACAAGAGTTACAATGAAAACTGCAGCCCATTGTTCTTCGCAGCCCAAAGTGGGGGGCCTGTGGTGAGCTGCAGAGAGCAGACCAGATGGGCTCTGCAGCCATCTGCTGCATCTGTTCAGGAAAACAGTAAGTGTGATCCCATTAGACAGATGAAGAAACTGAGGCTCAGAAGTCAGATGTGGGAATCAAAGGACATAATATACATGGGGTCTCCTGGCTTTGGATCCGACACATACTAGGCACCCAGCAAATACACGTACATGGGTACAGTCTCCAAACCTCTCCCACACTGACCTCCCGCCCCCAGAGGTCCTTGGTGCCAGTGTCTGCACATAGTGAGCACCCCAGACACTCCCAGAACTGGGAGGCCCATGGCCGCCTGAAGCACCGTGCTCTGGATTTGGAAGGTCTCACTCCCCTGTAACCCCGTGTGCCCAGACCACACCGGGTGTGAAGAGGACAGTAGGAGTAGACACGGGCCTCCCTGGGGGGGTGACAGTTTAGCTCTGAAGACAAGGTCCGTCCAGAGAAGCACTTGAGAACGCTCAAGATTTCAGGAGCCAGAATAAGGGGGCAGAGGAGGCGCGGCGGTCTCTCTCTCCCTGCCTCAACCTCAACTCTCTCCATCCCAAGAAGAAGCTGAGCTGACCCCCAGGCCAAACTTCCTGGACAAGGGTGGCCAGGCCTCCCCCTGGATCCTGAGGTCCCACGAGTTGACTGCTTCCTCCCTCTCCCGGCCACTCAGTCCCCTGTTCACCTATTGTCCCACACGACTCCTAAGCCAGCCGGGTATCTCCTCGCCTGTGAGAGACCAGCCTTGCTCTAACGTTTTCCATCTGTACTACCATGACACAAAAAGAATCAAAAAGATGATTTTGTAACTATCCTAAACCAAAGTCAGAGGGACCGAGGTCCTCCAAATTCCACCACTGGCAAACCCTGAAGTGCGGGTGTTAAAAGTTCAAGCCCTTGAAAACGGCCTTTTGGATTATATTCCAGCTCTATGACTTCTAAACAGTAAACCTAGACAAGTTAGTTAACCTCATTAGCCTTGATTTGTTCATCTATAAAACAGCTCCTCCCTCAAAGAATTGTGGTAAAGAACTAAAGTTAGGGAACCATGGTTCCGTGGGCCCAATGTGAGCTAAGAATGGTTTTTGCATTTTAAGTCACTGAAAAAAAATTGTAATATTTTGTAACACATGAAATTATATAAAATTCAAATTTCAGCATCCATGAATAAATTTCCTGGGGTTTTTTTTTTTGTTTTGTTTTGTTTTTGCTTTTATTAGGTCTTTGTTTTATGCTGAATTTACTCCCAGGCCGTAAGCTTTTGCTTCTTCAGTTTCTTTTGGGCTCTTTTTCTTCTGTGCGACCTCCTCCTCTGGTTTGGGAACAAGCTGCTCTTTCCCGGTGAGGACCGTCTCAGTGTGGCAGGGAGCGCTCCTGTACGGGGCGATCCTCCCCTGAGCTCTGTAAGATCTGTGCCACGTCTCAGGAGCCGCGTTCCCCTGGATGTGCTCCATGACCAGAGAATCCACATCTAAACCCTCAAGTGCAGCATTACTCTGTGTTTTTAAGCACATGTAGCAAAAACTCAGCACTCTTTTGGGGCCACCGACCCTGTGTCCAGTCCCACTGTTTGGCCCGGGCACACCTGCCCACTCACTCCACCATTGTATCGACGGAATGGGACACACTGCTTCTTTAAAGTGACATCTTTCAGATACTTGGTGGCGTTTCGAATATGCGTACCCTTGCTGCCCTGGGCAGTTTCACGAGCGTTCTTAAAGTGAACACAAAGATTTGAACCTCTTCATTTGCATGATTTTATGGGCTTCTCCGGGTCAAGTGAATAGCGAACCATCTTCAGAGGTCACCTCTGGTCGCTTTCAGAGGAGGAAGACCATGAACAAATTTCTATTGGAACATAGCCACGAACATTTGTTTAAAAATTGCCTGCAGTTGCTTTTCTGCTACAACAGTGAAGTTGAAGAGTTGCAACCTACATGTGATGGTGCACAGCCTGAAATACTTACTGTCTATTTCTTTACAGAGAAAGTTTGCCAATCCTGCCTGGCCAGGTGGCTCGGTTGATTAGAGCATCATTCCATGCACCAAAAATGTTGCAGGTTCAATCCCTCATCAGGACGCATACCTGGGTTGTGAGTTCGATCCCTGGTCAGAGTACACGCAGGAGGCAACCGACCATTGTTCCCCTCTCATGGTAATGTTGCTTTCCCTCCCTTCCTCTCTCTCTAAAATCAATAAACACATCACCAGGATGAGGATTAAAAAAAAATTACAAGTTTGCCAATCCCTGGGAAAGAGAAAAGGAGAAAATGCATCGAAGTGCCTAGAATAGTAAATACCTACAAAATGTCAGCCGTCATTTTCTCTTGTTACCACTGAGCTCCCACGTGCTTCTGGAGATACACTCCCAAGTAATTACCAAAATTTTCTAAGTTATTTTCAAAATCACTGCATAGAACAAATTCCCCTGTAGAATATGTGGTGGTAACTAGTTCTAACTAGCAGGACTAATACATAATACACTGACTGTCCTAGCTTGAAAGAAGACAATGGAAGAGAGGTCCCTTCCTCCCAAAGTCATCCTCTAGATTTAGTCTTATTGGAACACATGCTGGAAGGACCTGGAATGGAAGCGAACAATAACAAAGTCTCTAGATTTCTTTGTATCACAGCGCACGGACGGGAGAAAGGGCCTTAGAAGTTTCACCCAGTCGCCTGTTTCACAAATGAGGGATCCGGGCCCTGATGCTGAACTACAGGGACTTCGCCGAGAGCACCCAAGGCTCTGCCACCCCCGCATCTTGGCACCTCTCCTGCGTGAGCTTCCTTCCCCTCAGCTTTTAAACCCTTGACTCCAGCGACATGTCCTGACCCATCATCGGGTGTGACCTTGAAAACAGTTTATGTGCTGGTCCTCATTTCTTAGGTGTTAATAATCTTGAAAGCAAATCCAATTCATTATTTAAAATTCATTTTTTTTCATTGAGGTATAGTCGACATATAACATTATATTAGTTTGGTGTGCAACGTAATGATTCAATATTTGTATACATTGTGAGGTGATCACTAACATAATTGGTGAACATCTGTCACCACACAGTTATCAATTTTTTCTTGTGATGAGAGCTTTTGTGATTTACTGTTAGCAACTTTCAAACAATTATAGTCACCATGCTGTACTTTCTATCCCTATGAGTTATTTGATAACTGGAATTTTGTACTTTTCTTCCCCCTTCACCCACCCTAGCCCCCTCAAATTCACTTTTAAAACAAAGCAACATCCACCCAGCCCCAGCCTTGACATCCATTTCCAAACACATGCAGGCTCTGCAGTGTCCCGAATCAAACCTGTCCATGTTTAATCAGCTTCTTCACTGAGTCCTGGCACCGGCCTCACTCCACCGCCCGTCAAGGGTCCAGAACAGGCAAGAAAGGTGAGACGGCCCTGCCGGGAGCAGGGGGGTGTGGCCCTCACACACCAGGACAGAAGAGGCGTTCACGTTCCTCCTCCACGTCATGATACCCACGGAAATTACCTTTAAATGAGGAAGAAAGTCATTATTTCATTAATAGGATTGCACCAATTGAGGAAAACTCGTCTCCAGTGTAAACAAGCGGAATGTCTTTGCCTTCTATGAAAACAAGTTTAAATTACTTGCAGATCCGGATGAAGAGAGAGACGTAGGAAGTGAACCTGGAGCCTGACACATTGGAGGTCTGGGAACCAAAAATAATAAGAATTGTTCTGATTCTTTCAGCAGAATCGAGCTCAGAGAGGGGCACGCCCCTTTGCAGAACCAAGGAGTCCTGTGCCTGACCCTTGGCTTGTGAGAAGGTCCTAACTTCCTCCTGTGACCATGTGCCTTACACGTGCATCGGGAAATGCAGCCACTACACCCCTAGGCAGGCACAGGGCCACCCCAGCAGGGCTCCGACGAGGCCCAGGACAGGGCTCCCTTGCCTCCTCAGAGAGAGTGGCGATCCGGCCAAGAGAGCAAGAGGCCAACCTGCTGAGAAGAGTTTCACATTTTAAAAAGACAGAAAAAAAGAAAAGTGAAATGAAACATATTTGACCTGAGAAGAAATAGAAGGCCTCTCTAGTTGCCAAAGTGACAAATTAGACAGGGAGGCCAAGCGAAGGTGAAGTCCTAGGGTGCCAGTCAGAGGGGCCCAGATGGAGCAGGCCGGGCTGCAGGTGATGGGACAACTCGGCCTGGTCGGTCCGGTTGGGAAACCTGTCAGAATGCTCCGCAGAGCTCAACACAGGCTGCCCTTTGTACCGGTATTTATCTAAGTCGTCAATTTTATGGCCACAGTACCTTCCCAGTCCGCAGGAAAGCAGATATCGGTGCCTTCCAGAGGCCTGGCTGTGGTTTGCACCACGTAATGACAGATGCCGAAAACAAAGGGGAGGGGAGAGAGCATTGGGGAGAGACCACAAAAGAGCCTTTATAATTATGCCTCTGCCTCCCCGGGGGGCCTGCTGCTCCCTGTCCCCTCTGCGGAGGTGCTGGCAGGCTCTGGGGGCGCTGCCTTCCCAGGATGTGCGGGGCAGCTGCCTCGCACGCGTCTATTAATAACCGTGCAGGGACTTGCAGGGAGCTATTACATCGCTGTCTCTCTTCTCCAGGCTAAATAGCAGCAATCCCTTTAACCTTTCTTCATGGGCCTGATTTTCCATCCCTTTAATCATCCCTGTCACTTTCTGCTGCATGGGCTTCACTCTCACCACATCCCTCCCCGGGCCGGAGAGGCCAAGCCAACTGGAAGAATGGGCCTCACGGCCTGCACAGCTAGCTGCTTCTTTTCTCTGCACTCCCGTCGGGACTGCCCTGGGGCCCCAGGGCCTGGGAAGCCCATGGCCTTGGCCACAGCCCCAGGCTGACTTACTGCCATTCCTGACCCACTGGAGCTCTTCCCTACTCCCATGGGGATGTTCCCCGTGACCAGAAAGCCACTAAAATCCAAGAATCTCCTCTAGGCTGATTTTCTCTTTCCGGCCAGACTCCAGCCTATCACGCGGACCATGAGAACCTCCAGCTATCCTGCCGCCATCTTTCCCTGCCAAAACACTTTCAAGCCAGCGTTAGGGATAATTTTTTAAAGCAAATGTCATTTTGATCACGTCCCTCCCTGACTCAAGAGCCCTGAGGAGCTTCCTGTGACTTTATGGTATTGCAAATGTAAACACCAGAATCTGGGCCCAGATTCCTGCTCCTTTCCACCCATGCACAGATTCTCGTTCCAAAAGCTGTCCCTGGTCAAGGTCCTCACTCCGTCCAGCCTTCACCCACCCGCCAGCCTCACAACATCCTATTAGATACTGTTTGGGATGTACTGATGTATATTTGGTTAGGGCTCTTTGACAGCAAAGAGGAGAAACCAACCCTGACTGGCTTAAGAAACAGGAATCATTTGCAAATGAAAGGCATCATTTGCAGAATTAAAAGAAGGGCTGAGCCCCCCCCCCCAGAAAAGGACAGAACTGGACAGCTCTGGAGGTCTTTCTAGAACATTGCCATCAGATGTTCATTCAGCTCTTTCATTTTTATTTATTTTTGCTTAAGATTCAGAGTTTGAGGACCTACGATCTCAGACAAGCTTTGTGATGAGAAGGAGGGGAGCCCCGTACTGGCGCTCTCTCTGGAACCGCACTTGGTAGGGACAATTGCCAGCCTTAGCAAATAAACATACAAGATGCCCAGCAAGAGATCAATTGGAGGTAAACAATGATAATTGTTATAAATCTACCCCGTGCCGTAGTTCCTGGATTGCCTTCCCATTCTTCCTTTCCCCAGTCCCATTCGGCAGCCCCTCGGTGAGCGGGCGCCCCCTCTGCCGGCCACAGTACCCTGTTGTACCTCGTGCCTAACTAACTTCTTCAATCTGCCCTCAAGGTCGCTGCAGATTTTATTTCTTTCTCTTTTATTTTAATAGCCCAACTTAAATCACCTCAAAATTATATACAGTAACTGACACAAATAAATAGGCTCATGTGCCCTTTGGCAATCATGTATTATTTATGTCCTTTTTACCTCTACTTAGGGAAAAAAAATCAACTTTCTTTGCCTTCTCTTTTTCCCAAAATACTTCGAAAACAGTCCTAATGCAATTTAGTATCTGTGTAACTTTTTCCAGTTTAACATGCCTTTTCACATTTATTACTTTAGTATCATAAATGATCATAATTAATGAGTTAAGTGGTTAGTTGTATAGCTCCCCACTTCACAGATAAACAGTTAAGACTTTGAAAGGTCGATTATAAAAGCCAGTGTGGATTCGAAGTTGTGGGGGCAGGACTTAGAGCGACGTGTTCCTTCCTCTCTGTCAAGGGTCAGCAAACTTTTCTATAAAGAACCAGAGAGTAAGTGTGTCAGGCTTTGAACACCACATGATCTCTATTGCAACTGCTCGACTGCCATGGTGACGCAAAAGCAGGCAAGGTTTATACATCAGTGAGTGGGTTTCTGTTCCAATAAACTGCATTGACAGAGGTCAACAGGCCATATTTGGCCCATGGGTTGCAGTTTGCTAACTAACGCCTCCTCTATAGCACTCGATAAGCACCTTTTAATCTTTATAAGTCTCAGAACTTGCCTCCAATGGGGATGCCATCATTTCAACCTGCATTAATATTAGCATTTGATATTAACATTAAATGCTAACTTTTCCTTCCTTCTTGCCTCTCCTGTGTCAGTGTTGTTTGGATAATAACTATCTTGGTTGCCCACTACACCTCTGGACCATCCTAGACAATAGCAAAGTTTTCTTGTGTACAATGAACACGTTAAGCCCATTCTTCCTCCCCTGGATCCTCCTCGACCTGCGTGTGTGATCCATTCCGACAGCCCTTGGGAGGAGGTGCCTTCCCAGTACAGCACGTTCCCCAAGGCCCCCAGAATGAACCAGAGTTAATCATCCTTCCAGTCTGCACACTCACTCCAGGTTTCATGTGCCTCCCTCCCTTGGGCCTTCTCCAAGTTTATCCCAGGGAAACTCATGCCCTAGAATGGTAACTCCACAAGGAGGTCTTCCTGCAGCCTTCTCCACCTCTGGTCCGGGAAGGACAGAGACTGTTTAGTTCTACCTGCTGCCCGTAGAGCAGAAAGACAGACTCAAGTGCTCTTCCTAGGGAGGCAGGAGCTTCCCAGAGCAAACTAGCTAGTTTGGCACATACCTGTCAATGTTTGTAGATCCTGAGAGAGTGAGGGTTGGGTGTAAATAGCATCCTCCTGGGCAAGGAGGCCAGTTGCTTAGATGACTGGAGTTGCAAATCCTCAGGCATGGTGATTGGCCATTCTGGAACCAGAATTCTACAGTGTAGGGGCCAATGGGACAAGACTGATACCTCACATTAGGGATTCCAGGTCTTTGAGTGGGCTCAAAAGTACTCATGTGTACACACTGAGCATAAAGTCCAAAAAGACTATAGAGTTCAAAGCTACCCAAATCTTTGTTTACAGGTAAGGAAACTGAAGCCCAGAGAAATCACTTTAGTTTATCATGATGCCAAGGGGGAAGGATTTATATCATCTTCATAAATAATATCCATAAAGATATTGATGAACTTGATCAATGAAACTGAAATTTATAACTATACAGCATTCCTCAAATATCAATATATTTTATGTTAAATAAGAGGCAGAGAACATGCTCAACCCAGCACAACCCAAGAGCCATGAGTGAGATCAGCTTTTTCAAAAGACATGAGACTTGGCTTTTTCAAGTGTTCCATGTACCCAAAATGTTCTCTGGGAACACTCACAGCCCCCTCTAAATGTCTTCATAAATTCTCCAAAAGGAGGAAAAAAGGCAGCAAAGGATAAAAGGTACAAGGAACACTGAATGCCCTTGCAATCCCTTTTGGAAGTTGTGTGACCTGTTGCAAATAATTTAACTTTCCTAAACCATGTTTTCTGATCTGTAAAACAAGTATAATAACAGCACTTATCTTGTAAAGGTGATGTGATAATTAAACGAAATAATGCACACAGAATGCCTAACCTAAGGCTGACTTAATAGTAACTACTCAAATATTCACTATGATTGCAATTCTTGTTGACATTCCAGATTTTTGCCTTGGGTCCAAGTCTAATTTTGAGTTGGCCTCTCTGCCCACTTTTCTGACTATGAAAGAGGGGTAATATGTTAGCTGGAGAGACAGATAATTAGAAGTTAGTTATGACCTTCTCACCCAGAGCCATAGCTTGGCCCGCATGACCTCCATGCTAAGAGACAAGGTACCTTTCTGAGCTGGGTTTCCCCTGAGGAAGTGACCTCCAGGCCAGAACCCAAGCTGTCTGGAAGAGGTAATGGGCAGTTGCAAGTCACAGGGTCAAAGAATTTGGGAAACAGACAAGGAAATGTGGAAAAGGCTAATGCTCAGATTTTTTTTTTTTTTGCGGATAATATTTCTGGCATTATGGTTTTTGAGTCAAATGGTGTCATCCTTTGAAAGTCCTGCAGAGGAAGAACAAAGAACAAGGAATCCCTACAGCAAAATGACAAAGAGCTCAAGAGAGATCCTGCATTAAGG